TCCGCTTTTTTCATCACTCGCCATTGCCATGTATGATGGCAAGCAGCATCAGCTTCTAGTGTTTCGTGCGGAGGCGTAAGCAAAACGTAGGCAGTTGCCTGGGGCCCAGAGATTTGTCGGGACCGCCGATTAATTAATTTTAATTCTTTTTTAAGCTGTTGTTTTGAATTGTTATTCTTTTAGTCTTAATTCTAGTCTTATTACTCGCCTGAAAGAAAAATAACTTTAAGATGCTTTATCTATCAGTGTGACTGCTTCGGCTTATTTTTTCAATGCAAGGGACCACTCCATCTTTTTACTCTTACGTGATAACTTTAAGGAATTTAGGTCAGTCAATCAGTCATTGTATTGAACATATAAACCAGGGGTGTCAAACTCATTTCACATTGTGGGCCACATACGGCCTCAGTAGATGTCAAGTGGGTCGGACCATTAAAATTATACCATACTCTGCTATAAATAACTAAAATATCATGCCTTTCCTTTGTTTTGGTATAGTGAAGCACAAGAACATTAGGAAAATGTTGAAATTTAATGAACATATCTTTTACAAAACATTTCATGAAACACCTTAGATTTCCTTTGACAAATGTGCAATTTACTTTGATCATTCACATATATGCATTGCAACTGATCCCACTGATTGTACAAAAGGCACAAAACTTTAACAAGTAATTTGTATTGAAAAATATAGTAATGCATTTTAAGATGAAACAAAATTTATAAAGAAAGGAATTTTTAAACCATTTACACGTGCATATAAAATCTAAATTTAATTCCTGCCTCCACTTTACAAACTAAGGAGAAAACAGTGTGCTCGCGGATAATCCATGAATTGCATCTTATTAAAAATATTCATTCTGTGTCTTTTATGCATTTTTTGACTTTTAAATTATCCTGCGGGCCTGATCAAACTCCTCGGGGCCGGTTCCGGCCTGTGGGCCGTATGTTTGACACGCCTGGCCTACAACCTTCGGTATGTACAGGGACTATGTAAGCACACACTTGGGCACATTTATCTATCACTATGCTCTCACACTATACTCAATATTCCGTCATGTTACAGGATTTAATCAATTTACGACCTTAAATCTGACTTATATCGGGGTTTTTTGGGGGGTGGTTGTGCTTTACTTTTGAACCTTTTGAACAGCAACCAATTCACACGTTTTCAGGTCAGTTTCGAAATGATTCCACAAATTAACACCTAGGACAGAAACAAACCTTTGCTTAATGTTTGTTCCTGTTTTGGGATTTTTTTTGTAGAGGCTTGTACCCCTTAAATCATAGCAACTCCCTCTATTGTGGTAAAAAGCATGTGGGATCAGTAAAACTATACTGCTTTTTTTAGGTCTCACTGTATTGTGTGCATTTTCACCTTTTGTGGGTTGGTCTGGAACATACAGTATGAATGGGGATTTACTATGTAAATGTGTGTTTTAAAAAATGTATATATATTTTATGATTCTCAGAGGACACCAAACAGGATGAGTTTGTGAAGGAGGTGCAGGCACTGAAGAGCCTCCACCATCCCAAGCTGATCCAGCTGCTGGCCATGTGCTCCCGAGGAGAACCAGTCTACATTGTCACTGAGCTGATGAGCAAAGGAAGCCTCAAGTCCTACCTGGCCTGTGAGTTACAAAAAAAAAATGCTCTCATGTTTCATTTGCCTTTCCGGGCACTTACCGGTAATACATTCATAAGTCACTTTCTTTTACATCACATGTCTCCTCTCAAACATTGTTGATCAACACAGCGTTAGCCCCAGTTCGTGCTTAAAATTCATCTGACATTTTACGACTGGTTTCAATGCAGCTTTCATTGAAAAGTGTGCCTGTGTGTGTCTAGCTGCAGAAGGCCAGGTGCTGACATCAGCTCACCTCATCTTCATGGGCAGTCAGGTGGCTGAGGGCATGGCCTACCTGGAAGACCGGAACATCGTTCACAGAGACTTGGCGGCTAGAAACATCCTGGTGGGAGAGGACCTGGTCTGCAAGGTGGCAGACTTTGGGCTGGCTCGTATTATCAAGGTGTGTGCGTGTTACACGGCAGGTGTTGAGTGTGTGTGAGACAAACATGTGACGTCAGGGTGACGCGTGCTAAGTGTAAAATGAAGTTAAGCAAAGTAAAGCATAAAAGGTCCAAACAATCAAATTGTCTCTTGTCGCAATTTCACCTGATGTTCCAGGAGATGTTCCAGGAATTTTTCACAATTTCTTGCTACACTGAATCCTTGTCAGTTTGCAAAATGCATCTATTCAGGCTATATTTCATATTTTATCTGAAAATATTATGAAGGCATAACTTCTGACTTGTCAATGCCAAAGCGTTTGCTATCAATATAGAACATGCATCCTTGATTTTTGTAACCTCCACGAATATAGAACACAGCAACACTTTGCCCGTGGGAGTTTTAACGTCATAGTAGACTTGATGGTCATGACGGTAACGCCACTCAGTTCCCAGAATGCACAGCGTGGAGCAATTCATTTAATTCATGAAGTTATAATGACATTAATCCTTGTAATATGTGCGTTTGTGTTACCAGTGGTTGAATGTGTTGTGTATACTTAACTGTCACCCTCATTTGATTTATGTTGTACTATATTGTTACCGGTATATTTGGTCTACTTAACGGAGTCTTGCTTTGTTTGATGTGTCGTCGCTTCCTGTCTATCTTGTGGAATACCAACTTTTGCGCCGTTTTCCAGGACAGTGTGTACACAGCTAGCCGGACCACCAAGATCCCTGTGCGGTGGACGGCACCGGAGGCAGCCATTCACCAGAAGTTCTCCGTCAAGTCGGACGTGTGGTCCTTTGGCATTCTGCTCTACGAGATGATGTCGCGCGGGAAAATGCCCTACGAAGGTACATGTAACATCCGAATATTCAGCACACATTTCTAATTGATATGGCGTGCAATGTGATACTGTGACTTGTCCCCCCCAAAAAACGAAAAAAAAAAACCGCAAAATTGAGGAATATAATTAATTTAGGGTTTCTTTACACATTTATCACCTCAACACCGCAAGAACCTAAGAGCAGATTTGTGTCATAAAAATGTAGAAAGAAGTTTTATATAACGAATAATTGCCCTTTGGGTGCCCTCAACATGGCCATAAAGTTAACGGTTTTGAAAATATACCTATTTTAGTCTCATGAGATTCTCCCATTCCGTGACTGTGACAATTTTTCAGGCAAAAACAACAAGCAGGTGTTGGACCTGCTGTCATCTGGTGGTCGCCTGGCGTGTCCGAGCAGATGTCCTCACAACATCTACCGCATCATGATGGACTGTTGGGCGGGCGACCCTTCCAAGAGGCCTTCCTTCCATGCTTTGCACAGCCAGCTGGACTCCATTTATGCTCGTATCTACTTCAAGACCATCGAGGTGTGACCACGGGGCGGAGAAAAGGAGGACAATATCGCCGCCATGGACGCTGACGAAAACGGTCTGGCGTGAAGGAAGCCAGATGGAATTCTTCACCTAGCCACGACTGTTTCCTCAATGACGACTGCAGGCCACAGGCGCTATGTGCAATAATGATGTGCTGGCTGGTGTTTAGCCATATTAACTGCCTGACATAAGCTAATCTTTTTGTCCAAACGTAACCTCCAGTCTTTTTCTTAAAAGGAAGACGGTATGTTGGTGATTCCTCAGTGGAGATGGAATTTCCTTTTGGTCATTAGCTTTAGCATTATCATTTGTTAAGAACAAATGCGAGCCCCTGAAAGTGTTCAGGCTTGCAATCATTGCTAAATCACTTTGCACTGACTGTCGGTGGGCAAAGTATGACTGTTTTTTTTTTTTTTTTAATTAATCTGGCCCTCTGAGCAATTGCATTGTCAAGAGTCCGTTAAAAAAAAATTTGGGGAGGGATAATTTACATTTTTCCCCCCCTAAAATAAAAGGCATTTATTATTGTAATAGTAATAATAATAATTATTATTATTATTATTTAACAATAATAATAATTATTTTATTATTATATTTCTTTTTAATTGTCTCTACAAATAACCACATTTTTAGTAGCGAAAATCCACAAGTAATTGATGCCCCTTAAAATGTTTACAGTTTCTTATATTAATAGTTTGAGCTGTAAATATGCCACCATTTTTTTTTACTGATTTTTAAAAATCAGAGATTCAAGTAATCCTCTCTAGATTTTTTTTTTTTTTTTTTTTTGGTGCTGATTCCAAATCTCCCCTCATTTTCACCTGCTCCGATCCTTGAAGGCCCCCGTCCTTCATGCTTTACAGGTTTCCCTCCTCCAACACACCTGATTCAAACTATCAGCTCATCAGCAAGCTTTGTAGAAGCTTGATAATTATCCTGACCATTTGAATCAGGTGTGCAGGAGGACGGAAACATCTAAAGCATGTAGGATAGGGGGCTCCCATGGACCAGAGTTGGTGACCCCAGCTCTTGCACATCAGCTTTTCCTAATAATAAAAATAAACTGAAATGGTTGCCAGTAAAATGCAGGGCACACATAGACAAACAACCATTCACACCCACTGTCACACTTGGCACAATTTAGACTCTAAATTTAGATTCCATTTTGAGTCTAAATTATGCCAGATGTGACTCTAAATTTTAGCCTACCAGGTTAAGCCACTGATGGATTTTTTTTTTCTACAACTATGAATTACAACTCTTGTTAATATCTGTATTGTGCCAGCTTTTATTGGTCAAATCCGCACACACAAACAAGTGATGATCTCAAAAACCTAATGTGTTCAAAAAAGTGTTTGAAATCTGTCAAAAATACATTTCAGCACATATAAAGCTATTTATAATTAAAATGTGTTGCTCACCGGTTTTATGATCCTAAAACAAAATTTAATTTCAAACTCATCTTACAAAATAACTGTTCAAACTAAATAGCTTACAGATGATTTTATTCAGTTTTTTTAATAGCCACTGAGCTGAGCAAACGCATGCACGCTTGGCTCTCTGCTATAATTAGCTTTCCCATAACATCGATGTTTGAACAGTCGACATACATCACTTCAACATATGTATTTGACACCAATTACCACTTTCCTGTTAGTCAGGGCTTTGGCCATCTGGTGCTATTCAGGGAATTACAGAAAGAACACAAAAAAAAAACCCGTAAAGGTGATGATAGGTTCTACAAAAGAAATTAATATTGATCACTTATAATCTATTTATAACTATTTAGATATAAAAATGATCATGTGTCAGATTAACATTAAAGTCAACAAAAATCATGTTTTACATATGTTGTTTGTTTTTAAAAAAAAAAAAAAAAGATTTTTAAATCTTACCTCATCAAATGGCCCCACCCATTCGTCCTTTTGAAAAAATTAAGAGTGACCCCTGAGCACCAAAGTTTGCCCACCCCTCGTCTTAGTTTGGATGGTTAGAACACTTTTAACTGTAGTAAAGACTTGCAACGAAAGCAGCAGAGTATTACGTTGACTCAGTCTCCCAGCGGCCTCCAGATGGAGTGCCATGTTTACACGGCTGTCGCCACGATGACCACCGGCGACTTTTCTTTTGACAGGGTTGCATGTGGTGCAATGCAAGAAAACAATGCACCTTTGCTACTTGATGACATTGACAGTCTTGAGCCTTCAAAAAAAAAAAAAGTGACTAGTCTTCTCACAAACAATAAAGTCTTTTCTCTCTCTTTGATGTTGACATACTTTTACTTGCTATTTTAGTTTCATAGCGAAATGTTCCAGGAACTACTTGAAAGTTACGGTTTTGAAAAGATAAGGTTTGTCGTTTCGACGATGGAATCTTCTTTTGTGTCACATCAGAGCCCGTTTCTTACGAAAATTTTGTGTTCTTATTTTTGATACAGTGACTTTTCAGCATTTCCTTTTGGATTTGATGTGTTCTATTTTGTCGCATACTGTCACATAGCATTCCCTCTTATGTCCCATAGTTTACCATTATGTCCGCTGTTGTGTCCATGTCGCTTATTGTGTGTTAACTTGTCCCATTTTACATGTTATATACTACATATATACATATTGCATAAACAAGAAACATATTTATAATCCTCCACACACATAGTATTAATCAAGGGCCACTTTTTGTGGCATGCGGCCTGTGGTCCACCAGATGCCCATCCCTGTACGACAGTGTCCCCTATTAGATCCCACAGTGTCCAATAATGTTCCCAATTGTGTTTCACCATGTCCCCTGCTCTGTCCCATGATGATCCCATGGTGCCAAATTTTGTCCTAGCCTGTCCCGTAATATACCGCCATGTCCCATTACATGTCCCATACAGTTTTGTTCCCGAGTGTCCCATTATTGTGTCTTATCCTGTCCCAATTTGTCCTACAGTGTCACATATTATGCCCCATCATGTCCCATGTTGTTTTCAGTATTGTCCCCTTTTGCCTCACTGTGCCTTTATTTCCCATCATTTCCGAGAGTGTGCCATTATCTCCTCATATGTACCGTAGTGTGGCTGCTTGGTCTGTGTGGTGATGTGACAGAAGGCACACGGAACTAATGCCAGTCAAAAAGTGTAAAAAACAAACAAACAAGAATGAGCGCGTGTGTGCCGCCTTCATGGCGCATGCTGCTCAAGTCGCCGAGCAACATTCCTAGAAATCCAGTAGCGTCACTGCCGGTTCAACAGGTGCTGTGAACCATTGTGACCAAAGGCGTCTTTTTCTTCGGCGCTCAATCATGGACAAATGCCTGCGCAGTGCATGCCCAGCTCTGTGGCAGAGGTTCTACGGGGACAAAAAGACAAAGGTGGAAGGCAAGAGTGCATCAATCCTGGAACTGCCAACGCCACCACAGCAAGGACCACCAGCCGACAATGATGAGCACGGAAGCACGTATGAGGCTATGTGGGACTTCCAGGGCCAGAACTCAAATGAGTTGACGTTCCAGGCGGGAGACCTGTTCAAGGTCCAGAGCCGCAGCGGCGACTGGTGGACTGTGTCTCGGCTGGATCAAAGCGGAAGCACGCTTGACAGCGGCAATGTGCCCGGAAACTACCTGAAGAAAACTGAGACGAGTATGCAGGTGGAACCGTGAGTTTACAATAAGCTAACACATTTTGATTAGCATCTAAATATAGACATCATCAGTTCTGATGGTACCTGTTGATGATGCTCCTTTGAGAAGACACCACTTTGTCCTGTTGCTACTCTGTCCCAATGCAACTTGGACGCAAAGCCACTTTGTCCCCGTGGTTACTTTGTCCTGTCGCGACTTCATCCCAGCACCTCTTTGGGAAAAGATGATTAGATAAACTTGTTTTAGAATTATGAGCTTGGTCTCGGAAGAAATTCAACTTGTATCTCAAGGCACCACTGTATTCGTCTTCCCTTTTGCTGTCGAACTCTCAAATAGACTCGAACCCAGGCCATGAGCAACGTTAAACTCTGAAGTCACAAATTCCAACGGTACGACTGTGTGTGTGTGTGTGTGTGCGTGCGTGCGTGCGTGCGTGCGTGCGTGCGTGTGCGCACGTATGCGCACGCACACACGTGTGTCAGATGGAATTTCGGGACCATGAACCGTTCAGACGCCCAAAGTCTTCTGATGGCACCGGGAAACAAACCGGGAGCATTCCTCATTCGATCCAGTGAGAACCATGTCGGATATGTCCTCTCAGGCAAGACCATGTCACACCGGTAAGGACAAAACAGAGAGTGGACATATCATTTGTAATGGAAGCCTGCGTGTGTGCCTGTTCACAGTGCGTTCCAGCTGTCGGGTGAAACACTTCAAGATCGCCCAAACGTCCGATGGTCTCTTTGACTTGGATGGCATGCAGCAGTTTCCGTCGCTGAGCCTCCTGGTCGCGCACTACTGCAACAACCGCCTCCGTCTCAGCAATGAGGACACACTCGGCGAACCCTGCAGGCCGGTAATACTGGTTAAGAAGGGAAAGGGGCTGAGGAGGAGAGAGAGAGTGAAAGAGAGACGGGTGCTACCATCTTTAGTGGGAAATGTTACATGTTATATAAGGCAGGTTATTAGATTTTTTTTTCATTATAGGCTTCATGTATTTATTTTTTATTTGACTTAAAAAGAAAACAATGCCTGAGAATTCAATGTTCAAATTAAGGCAATGAAATAAAATGTTCTACTTTTGGGGAATCATCAACACATATGAGTGAGGGGCTACTCATGGTATGACAAAAAAGTTCAGGGGGATGCAACACAAAAAGGCTCGGAACCACTGATATGCAGTATATAGTGTCTGTGCTTCAAATATTTTTCTAGTTGCATGTATTTTAAAAAATCGTTAATATTGCAGTGGGAAGCGTTTTCATTTATCTCAGTTTACCTGCCTCATTATTGTGTTTCTCCATGTGTGTGGCCCCTCAGAGAGAACCCTTGCCAGAACTCCAATTTCCAGATGATGAGTGGGAGTTACCCAAGGAGGAGTTCACTTTGGAGGAAAAGTTGGGAAGCGGCTACTTTGCGGACGTCTACCGAGGATGTTGGAAATCATGCATTCGTGTGGCCATTAAGATCATCAAGAATGGTATTTACGCTCCCGCGTTGGTCCACCTGCAGTTTCTACGCGGTGACCCTTGCTTTCCCTTTGTCTTCAGACTCGGAGAAGAACCACTCGGAGTTCCAGAGGGAGGTGCAGATCCTCAAGCGCCTGCGCCACCGTCACCTCATCTCGCTGTTTGCCGTCTGTACCGCCTCCTCGCCATATTACATCATAACCGAGCTGATGGAGAAAGGAAGTTTGCTCAACCTACTCAGAAGTAAAAATTTTTACTTTTTTACAATTAGCAAATGTTGGCTTGAGGAAAACGGTCTCTTCTTGTTGAAGATGTTTGTCCGAGATGTTTTCAAGAAGAGACCTGGATGATTTTCAAAGTTTGACACCATGACTCGATGCTGTT